TCGGGCATCAAGCCGATTCTGGAATCGGTGAAGGCCAGTGCTCTTAAGCCCTAGTGGAGCGACCTCTCAGCGATGAGTTCGACCACGAAAAGCCATTGGGCCCAATGGGACAGCTTGCTGTTCAGGATGGAGTCCTGTGCCGTAAATGGGAAAATGGTCAGGGAGACAGCTGTCATTTGCAAATGGTTGTCCCTAAAGCTAAAGTACTGAATGTTCTACAGCTATACCATAATGGTTGTTAAGAAGGCCATCTGGGTTCTTAAACGAACTCTACTAAAGATTCGAGAATGGTTTTACAGGGTCCACTGTCATGACGATATCGACGACTGGACGAAAACGTACAAGTTGTGCTGCTTTAAAGGGACCTCATACTCGTATTAGAAGTGCATTGAAACTGTACAATGTTGGTGCACCAAGGGAGAGAATAGCCCTTCAGTATCCGGAAGGTGAAAGTGGTAACTAGTATTTCATGGTTGTGATAGATTACTTCACTAAGTGGCCAGAAATCTCCGCCATTCCAAATGAATAAACTTAGACAATTGCAGATAAACTAGGTCATGAAATCTTCTGTCATTTTGGAGGACTTTTGTAGATTCATAGTTATTAATGAAGGAATTTTGAGTCTCAAATATTCCATGAAACTTGCCGAGTTATGGGTACTCATAAAACAAGAATCTTACCACCCACAATCTGATGAAATGGTAGAACGATCTAATCAGACATTGGAGACCTCTCCAATGTCTGATTAGATTGTACCTAGCAAAATTTGTGGAAAATCGGCAACAAGATAGTGACAAGCATATACAACCCATTTTTGTTGTCATATCGAAGCGCTGTTCACGAAAGTACATCAGTGACACCAGCTTTTCCAAAGTTTTGAAGAGAATTACGGCTACCTGTAGACCTGATCACCGGAATGCCCCACGCAGTATACTGATTATGCAAATGACTTGCGGAACAAAATGAATGATATTTATGAGCACGTCAGACAATCGGGCCAGCAATTCTGAAAAGATGAATGACGTTAGGACGCACGCACTTAGCGGTAGGCTTTTGTTTTGGCGGGATTCATTATTAATTTTAGTTTTTGAGACAGTTTCGTGTTGAATATCACGTACGCGTGGGCGACACGACAGTTCAATCGTTTTGTTTATTAAAATTATGTTGTTATTACTTGTTATTATTATTATTATTCTTCTTACGTTTTGTGTTTCTTTTTATAATCCCTAACGCGTTCGTTTATACTCGTAGTGCTTGTGAATGCGGCAACATGTTAATGTGTCTTCTCATAACTTAACATACTAAACTGATGTGAATAGGTAATTAACTGAATACATCAGAATAATAAACATACCTACACGATGGATAAAAAAGCATGACTCTATCCTTGATGACATTTCATTTAAGTAAATTTTTTACTAGCGGGGAATTGAACCCGGTATTTAACCTTTGAATTCGAATTAAAGTGGCTAGGTGGAGACAAGCACAGTGGCAAAATAATAGGTTCAGTAGATAAGTTAGCTATTTAGACAAGTGTTGTAAATTATTAAATAAAATTCCGCGCGAATATCGAACCTATTGTCAGCTGATTTTATTTTAAGTTACACTACTAAGTTAAGTATTTTCATGATTTTTTATGAAATTATCGTTTCCTACGCTTTAACTATTTGAGCTGTTGAAAAGGTGATCGCCGTGGCAAGATTGTATCATTTGTGGCAATTTGGTTGTCAAATCGTTTGATATTTGTGGTTATATTCACATATAATATTAAGTTAAAAGTATTTCCTCATTCTTTGTATGATTTGCCATTTAGTAACCAGATTGACATTTCCATATTATAATTTACGTCAGGAACAGCCTTACACACTTGTTGCACTAGAAATATCACATCTCTGAAATAAGGTCATAATAAAAGAAGACTTACTGCCAGTAAAAATAGTTTAGAGGAAATAATAGCAGTGATACACTCCAGAGCAGACAACCTTATCCAAGTTGCAACAGTTCCATTCAAAGGAAACCAAATTCAAACTACTACCACTCTTACAGGAAACAGATACGTAAAGCTGGATCTTTGGTTTTAGTTTAGATTCATTGAATAAATATTTCAATATGGTTAAATTATACATGTGTTTTATTATCCTTCCATAAACACTTCCTCATTATTTATCAGTGTGTAATAACTGTGTAATAATTTTGTCTTTCATGGTGTTTGAGGTATGATAACAAATCAGTTAATATATTTACAAACAAAGTTTTGACACCGTGCCTGTCTATCTGTTCTACTAAAAATAGACTACTTTGCAAATTATGATTTACTATAATAAATGTATATATGCATATAATTTGTGTTTTTATCCTTACACAACCAGTTCAAAACCTCTTTCTTACTATACAGCGTGTGTGGGTAATATTACAAATATACATGTTATCCTTGACTCGTCTTGGCTTTAATCATATTACTTAAATGGTATTTGGGATGTATACTCACAATCAATACATGTAAAAAATAGTATCCATACCACAATTCTGCACACACATGCACTATATATATATTGCCGCAACTACTAAAACTATTTTCCATCGATTTTAAACGAACTATAAATGCTGAAAGTAACTACAACTTTTTTTTATACTTTTCATTATTGAATAGTGCACTATTTTGACTTATAATACCGGTGAAAACTAATAGACGATCGCTTTTAGTTTGTTTTTAGGTTATAGTAAGATTCATAATTTTTTAGTTTAGTTTTTTTAGTTTTAGTTTGCTAATTTCTCAGTAGTCCGTTTAGATTCCGTAAAACTAATATTACTATTGTAATCTATAGATTATAAGAAATAATACGACATGCATTTCATTAAGGGTAGCTAAAATTTGTGATGGGTCCATTCTCCATACAAAAAGAAACTGTCTCCTTTCTAATTGTAATAATGAAGGTATAGTCTATTGCTCTGTTATTTAATGCGTTAATTTATAAAAATCGCAAATCGCTTATAGGTCACACAACAAGTAAGACATATTTGATTTAACTAATTACCTACAATTAAAAGTGAACCTTAAATAATAAACGTGGCAAAATAAAGAAGCTTGGGTACCTCAAAAATTAAGTTAAACACAATTGATGATAGAGACGTTGGCATAATTAGCTAATAATAAATAGACACCCTTGCTCTACTATTTACCATATTCTCCACATGTTTCTAAAACATACACTCACTTATAGAATAGGAAAAATATCTATTTGTAGAAGTAATAAAGAACGCCTTTAAGCGGTTCATCGTTTCTCGTGCGCAGATTTCTTTAGCGAAATTATCAAAAAACTGTTCAAAAAACGCAACAGTGTAACTACTAATGGTAAAGCAAACATTTTTATACATAAAAGAATTTAAAAAAATATTTCAATTTTTCATACAAAAAATTTAAAAGTGAAAATCTTACTTTTGTGCTCTTTGTTATGATACATGAGTAAAGAAACCTTACAGAGGCAATTTTTTACCTATTTTGTTAGGGTTGACACTGCAGGATGATATTAAATAAAAATATGGTTATGAGCGATTTATTCATTCGATACACAATCCTTTTAAGTGTATGTTATTATTGTATTTCTTTTCGTAGACTTCATTTTACAGACAGCCCTTCATAAAGAATCAAGCAGCGTATGACTTGTTGAACCTATAATTATATTGATGTTCTATGTCCTGAATTGCCGGTCAAATTAGAACGACTATAGCAGATATTGTGTGGCGGAGAACCATCTTATTAGAAATACTCTTTCCGAAATTCAGACCGTGATCATGTTAAAAAAAATTAAATAACATTTAAATACATTTTTTTTAATAGAATTTTATTCTTCAGCTGTTGAAGCTGACGTATCTATATATACATCGTTCGATAAGTACCAGAATAGGTAATTTTTTGTACAATATCTTACACAATCCTTACAGTTACGTGACCGTATTCATAACTAACAAAGATTTTTTATAATTATGAGATGGTTAACCCATTTTTACTTTCATTCCAATTAGAACTTCACAAATATGTAATGACTTCACAAAAACTTCATAAATATGTAATGTGATCCAAACTTAATTATTTCAATAATAAACAATAGCGTTTATAAAAACAACAACGGCAAGAATTACAAAGTCAGTTTACATTATTACAAAGGTGTTATTTTAAAAATTATATAATTTATAAACAAAACCTCGCAAAATCCATAAACTGATAATCCAAGCTTCTTTTAAGATGGCTTTATCAGGTAACAATTTTTTATCTCCATCAAAGTGGTCAATGCAAAATACAAAATTTGATACAATTATCGTTTTAAATATGTTTAACTCGGCATCACGTTGATGCACGTATAAGAAAGAACATAAATCGATAAAAATAAATTTTATTAAAATAGAAATTTGATAAAAATGTGATTTTTTTTATAGGATAATGGTGACAAACGAGCACACAGTCCACCTGATGGTAAGTGTTTGCTGTGGCCCGTAGACATCTACATCTATCTTCGATTACGAATCAAAATGCAGATGCGTTGACACCCATGAGGACTAAGATGGAATGCCTCGTTTCCATTAAAAAGGGTCTCCGGTTCTGTACACTCACCATACGAAACACAACAGCGTTAAGTTGCTATTTTACGCTGGTATTCTGTGAGAACGTGGTCGTCATTCGTGCTACAACTATACTAATATATAATATAGCTGCAGCATGGCTCAACCACGTACAATAAAAAGTGATTTAAAAAAAACCTTCCATATTTTAATTACTTTATAGTGTCCGCAAGGAAAAAAAACAATAAGGATATATTTATGAGAGTTTAAGTTTGTATAAACTTTGGATCATTCTGACCCGTTCTCATCATTCTAGTAATTATTTTCACGTCAATGGCGCCGGTTTAAATCAGCATCAGGTAAACCAGTTTGTCATTTGGTAAATATAACTGTCCATGCATCACACACCTCGCACTCAGTGATCTCTTGTGTCTAATCCTAATATGTGCAGTGCTGACCTTTTCTTTTGGAGACAGGTACAGAAATTTTCTGTTCGAAATTCGATTTATGATATCTGTGAGTGCTAAATAACTAGAAAATATTAAAAAGTTATTTGTGTAATTTTTTTTTCGAAAATTTTATTTATAAAAAAATAGGTAAGAATAAAATATTATGAAACGGAATGTTTCGTCAGTAAAAATCACTTCTAATAAATATATAATCCGTAGGGAAGCATTTATTGACTAATTTGATTAAAGGCATTAGCTTATATAGAGGAAGCGTCAGGTGAGCCGTGCCCTACCCAGAATCATCTAGTGCCAATCCAAATGTTCGTTTACCAATCCAAAGTTCTAGGGTATTCCATAAGTCTGTTTTGTCCGTAGGTGTGTATGATTACGTAGAAACCTGAGTACTTATATTCTTTTCGGGCTTTCCGAGTGAGCATTGAAATAAAAACTAAAAATATTGTAATTTTATAATAACAGACAAAATAATAAATATCTGCTGTTGATAACCCACCTAACAAGTGTGTTTACTAGGGCACAATCTCCTATGGGGCAATTTATGGAGGAGGCCTATGATCAGCAGTAGACATTAAATACTAGACTTGGGCTGTTAGGAAAAGAAAAGGGACAGAAAAATTATGATATCTAGTGCATGATGTCGTTCATTGCTTAATCAGGCATAATAGTATTTAAAAAATGATTATTTGAGTGTGATTTAAATTTGGAATATGGCCCGCCACTCATTACCACCTTACATCATAGTAGAAAGAATAGTACTTAGGCGTCCGTTTTGCTGTATTTTCGAATAAAGTAAAAAAGACAAACACTCATATTTATATTTATCTACTTCCCATCTTTTTTTATATATATATATATATAAAAAGATGGGAAGTAGATGCTGTGGCAGGTAGTAGCCTTCCCCTAATCTTGATTAAGAATCAAAATGTAAAAGCGTTGTCATTGACAGTAATAAAACTGTCTTGTATATCATATCCTTAAGATAAAACACGTATTCGCATTGTGCAACTGTTTTTACGTTTTTATTCTTAAATGCAATAATAGACGAACTTTGTATTTCAGCAACGTTTGATTGGGCGATTTCTTGCTTAAAATTCGCAAAAACTGGTATTACTGTTATTATTTATATTTTATGGCTGTTGTTGAAACCTGCTATGCATACAAGTTTAAAGGGTAATAGTTTATTGATATATATTTGATATATTTGTTTGATGGGTTCTTTTGCGATAAGGATTCCCCTTGTATAGATTTTTAAAATTTTGAAACAAGACGCAGTTCACATAATGGTAGCCCATAGAAAGAAGTCTGAAGTGAAGAATAGAATAGAATAGAATAATTTTTTATTCAATATAGATCACATGTGTAATTTTTATTGAGAGTCACTTTTTACTTTACCACTGGTTCGAAAAAAAAACCTCAGTCCTGGGAAGAACCAGCAAGAATCCCAGCGGGATTTTGTTTTAAAAGCAAATTTTACATTAATGGTTGTACAAACTATATATGTACAAAATTTATTTTAGAAACAGCTTGGAAGTGACCACCTCATTCTCAGGTAACCCTTGAGAATGAGGTGGTTAATTCCAAGTTATTATCAACCATGAGAAGTAAACCTGAACTATGAGATCTCAAGATGGAATTCCTCGTTACCAATAAAATGGTTGTACAAGAAAAACAGCAGCATCATGTTGCTATTTCACTATGGTATTCTGTGCAAACGTGGTTTTTCGCCGGTCAAGGAGAACAATTTGTGATGCATCCATAATAAATTGCAGCTTAGCTAAGACTGTATTTTAAGAATTATATTCTTACTAGCTGTTACCCGCGGCTTCGCCCGCATGGTCACTGGGAAATGAACTATCCATTGCTTTTTGAATTGAAAAAAAACTGAGTTTTATAGATTTGTCAGAGATGCAGCCATTAAAAGGAAACTGAGCAAAATTGATTCGTCAACCTATTTAAATGTTTTGAAACGCAGCGTATAGGAAAACATGAAAATAGCCTGTTTATTCCAAATGGAAATGGGATATTTTTTTAATTAAAGGAAACTGAGCATAATTATCCGTCAGGGATGCAGACTTTTGAAAAGAAACTGAGCTAAATTGATTCGTCAGAGATGCAGTTTTCTGAATTGAAAGGAAACTGAGCCAAATAAAAGATCCGTCAGAGATGTAGCCTTTTGAGTTGAAAGGAAACTGAGCTTAATAGGTCCGTCAGAGGTGCAGCATTTGGAATTGAAAAGAAACTGAGCTAAATAGGAAATTTTGAATTGAAAGGGAAGATCTGTGGGAATTCTGATTAATTGATTGTGGGAATTTTGAAAAAAAAAAACTAACTGAACACTATTTTAAGACGCTACTGTACACAATGTTATATGACTTTCCATTCGGGGAAAGAATGTGGAGATTCTGGGTATTTGATACACGCGAACATGCTACATACAGCTGACCATGAGAGAAGCACGGTTTTACTAACTTGACCCCCGCTACCTGTAACGTTTGCCCTTGCGCTTTATTAATTGTCATTGCAAAACTGAGCTTAATAGGGAACTGCAACCTTTTGAATTGAAAAGGAATATCTGTGGGAATTATAGGGATCCGTGGTATAATAACATTTTCAACTTTTCCTACGCCTGTCAAAATTGTAGCACCGATTATGTTCCGTCCAAGATGTATCACACGCAGCCTTGTCCCGTTACATAACCGAGGAGCATCTAAATTTCGCATTAGCATAACTGGGACGCCTAATTTTAATTGAAGCTTATGTGAGGGCACACCCGACAACTCTAGAGAATTTAGAAACTCTACGGGATATGAAGTGCTCTGTTCTGTGTCCATAACTGTGTCTACCTGACAAATACTTTGTTATTTCTCCTGCTACTTCGCTTAATATATCTGAATTTATTTTGTTAACGCTCTCATTTTTTGGTGCAAGAATCGCCCTTTCCTATAACCATTTGTCTTCATGCATGTTGTTCGTTAAATCTGAATAAACGCTCGCAATTAATTCGGAATGACTCTGTACTAAATTACAAAAATCTCTCGTCAATTTAACGCAGCCCTCAGCATCCGTTTCCAACCGCCCATCGCCAATTTTTAATAGTGTGTCAGCATAGTTTCCACCATTGATATCATTATACAAATGCACTCTCATATTCGTAGTTAAACTGAATTTTTCACCTTGTTCCATAAAATAGACGACTTGAGGCATGCTTTAATTTCATCTGCAGGTGTGCTCTTTTGAATAACAGGTAAAGTTTGGCGAAAGTCACCAGCCAGTAAAACCACCATTCCTCCCATTACATCGGTATTGCTGCGCAAATCCTGGAGCGTTCGATTTTGTGCTTCTACAGCTTTTTTATGCGACATTGTACTTTCGTCCCACAATAAAAGTTTGCATTGTCGTAGCATTATACCTCGTGCACTATTTTTGCTAAAGTTGCAGATCGGCGATTCTTCCTGGGCTAGATTTAGAGGGAGTTTTAAAACAGAATGTGCAGTGCGGCCACCGCTTAGCAGCGTGGCGGCTATACCGGAGGAAGCTACGGCCACAACGTTTCTATCTTTCCGTACTAGCGCTAATAATAAATTTAACAAAAATGTCTTCCCAGTTCCTCCAGGGGCATCTAAAAAGAAAAGTGCATTATTTCCAGATTCAATTTATCCTAATACTTTGTCAAAAACTCGTTTATGTTCGGGAAGCAAGCGGGGTACAAATTCGGCTACTTGCTGCTGCAAAGCTGGTATATCGTAGTTTGTTTCACGTATAATTTCATCACTTAGTTCATTTTCGGTTGTTCGCTGAGGGCTTATCATTCCAAAGTCGCTTAATTTTACGCCTACCATTGCCATTAATTTATCTTCTAATTTTCCAAGTGTTTCATCATAAATGTGTTCATTGTATGTCTTATTCGCGTGTGTCTGCTGTAACCTTCGCAAAATATCTTCCGCCATGTACTCTTTATATTTGTCCCACAATTCATGTGCATTAGATAGCCTGCAAGATGATATGACAGTTGCATAAAGATCCCTAATTTTGGCTGGTGACTGGCACTGCACAGCTTCCTCCATGGTTTTATCCCACTGATTATCGTTTTCTAAAAGATGCAGAGCTTCACATGCTTCTCTATAAGTTGCGCATTCCTGACTGTTGACAGTTTTAAGGTCTTTATATCCTGTAGGACCCCGAACATGGTGCAGCAGCAATCGTAAACAGAAACATTCAAAATTAGTTACATGGACGGTATACACACGACCAAGGGCATCTGATGACTTTACAACGGGCCAATTTGCAACAGGCGCGCCTTGAATACGGCGTTTCCACTCCTTCCTAGATGTCTTCCAAGTATAATAGCGGGGGACTTTTTTCTTTTTTTTTATAGGAGATGGGGCTAACGAGCATGCGGCTCGACTGATGGAAAGTGACTACCGCCGCCCATGAACAAACGCAACACCAGGGGAATTGCAGATGCGTTGCCGGCCTTTTAAAAAGGAGTAGGCTCTTTTCTTGAAGGTCCCTAAGTCGTATCGGTCCGGTAAAATCGCTGGTGTTAAACTATTCCACAAGGAAGTTGTGAGAGTAAGAAAACATCTTCTAAATCGCACAGTGGTGGACCGCCAATCATCCAGATGGTGTGAATGGTATCGGGAGTTCTGCCGCGATGTGCGTTCGTGAAATTTGGCGGCTGGGATAAATCCGAACAATTACTCAGAGCACTCCCCATGGTAAAGGCGAAAGAAAATGCAAAGAGATGCAACATCTCTTCGCAGTGCCAATGAGTCGAGCCGATCGGAAAGGACTCGGTCGTCGACGATTCTAGCCGCTCTGCGCTGGATGCGGTCAAGTGGAAGGAGCTGGTACTGGGGAGCCCCAGCCCAGAGATGGGAACAGTATTCCATGTGAGGCCGAACCTGCGCCTTGTAAAGTTGCAGGCGTTGAGCTGGCATGAAATACTGTCCCGCTCTGCTGAGCACGCCAAGCTTTTTAGAGGCCAATTTGGCCTTCTCTTCCAAGTG